CCCCAAAACCCCAAAACCCCAAAACCCCAAAACCCCATATTTAATGAAAAATATTGAAAATTATTCCAAATGGAAAACCAGAAGATAACTACAAGTACGTATTCACCTCTCTGATTTTATTGTACAGATATTTTTCTTCCACCAAATTTAGGCTAGAAATCTAGGATATGGAGACTCCGAGTGTTTCTTGCACCTTAACTTGCCCATAAAGAAATATAAAATATAGAAATAAACTTTTAATTCTGAAGAGCCGGCACTAATAAGTTTTAGGTAACGAGAAATTTAGCATAGCAACTCTGACATGGAACTGTGCTGGGAAGATACCATATAAGATAGGTAACCCAAGAGCCTAACACTCTAGATTTTGGAGAGCTCCTTCATTGTGAAGAAAGCTCTGATTCTCCAGACATCATTCTGCTCGGATTCCAAGAAATAGTTGAATTAAGCATCTTTAGCCTGTTCACTGGACTGGGAAAGGAGAAGATGTGAGACTTTTTGGCAAAAGTTATTGGTAAGATTCCCCTTAAATCTTTTTACAGAAGATCTTGATACTAAGTTCGGAGAGGACTACAATGTCTTTGCCTCAGTCAACATGATGGGACTCTTATTAGTGAGCATCTCCAAAAATAAGATTTTAAGCCAGATTAGTAATGTTAATAAGACAGATGTTCCTCTTGGATTTGGAGGAACCATTGGAAATAAAGGAGCAGTTCTAATTAGCTTCTCTCTCAATGAAACTTCTATTGTCTGTGCCTGATGACATCTTGAGAGCGGGCAGAATAAGTGCCATCAACGTATCCGAAATTGGTTTGACATAACTGAATTAGCATTTTCTACATTTGAAAGCAGCAATCTACTCGAGCGTCACCAAGTACAGTTCTTTATGGGAGATTTGAATTTTCGGTTAGAGTATCCTTTACAAAAGACGCTCCAAATTTTGTCAGAAATTAACGAGGAAAATTGGCAAACAAGTCTGAATTTCTTGACCAACAGAGAGCAATTAACCCTTCTTAGAAAAGGATATGATTGGCTTAATGAATATAAAGAGATGAAGATCGATTTCCTTCCCACTTATAAGTATGATGGCTCATCAGAGAATTATGACAAATCCAGCAAGAGAATTCCCTCTTGGTGCGACCGTATATTGTGGAAGGAAGGCAGAGATAGTGAGAAAATGGTGAGGAAATTTTTTAAACGGATATTCCTGACCTTTTTATGCAAACTTCATTTTTGTTGTCGCCTTAGATTAGACTCTTTGGGGAGATCTTGCACAAATAATCCTTCGATTCTATTTAACATTGCTAAAGGTGATCCCAGTATGATATAAAAGGAGAGAGACTAAGTTTAGTGACCATAAGCCTGTGGTCGGACTCTTTACAATATTACCAGACCAAACTGCCCCAGATGTAATGTATGTCATAACTTGTTCATGTTTTCGAACTTTTTCTTAAATATAACTCTTTAGAGTACAAGAGGAGGAAATCTTGGAAAAATTGCCTTCTTATCATCCTTCAAAGAATAAATCCTTGAGTAAGCAGCTTGAGACGGAAGGAGATTTTACAGAGAGGTTCTCAATGACACTTGATTCAACTGATTTCAACTACTAAGCATCTCTATGATGGCTTGGCTACTCTAGGTATTATATTGGTGAATTTCATTAATCTTCTGAAAATTATTTATTCATTGAACCTTGCTACTTAAGGGGTTTTGGGGTTTTGGGGTTTTGGGGTTTTGGGG